GACCCCCCCCCCCTCCCTCCGAGAAGCCACCTGAGCCCTCAGCCAACCAGGAGTCCGGATCCGAACGTGTCATCCCAGACATCCAATGAGCACCCTTCCGCCTGGAGACTACAAAGCCCAGCGGCACGGGGAAGCCTACAAGTCCCAGCATGCCCTCGGAGCAAGCTCCCGGCATGCCTTGCCCCGGCCGTCCCGGGGGGTGTCTCCTGGAGGTGCCCGGGCGGGCGGGGGAGGAGGACGCAGGAGCCGGGGAAAAACGTGTTGGTCTTGAAGGTGGCAAACGCAGCTGCCACAAACTGGTTCAAGGTGTGAAGGGAGAAATAAACCTGGGCGATGCCCAAGACAGCTAAAGCATTTTAAGTGGTTTTTTAGTGTAGCGGGGAGGGGAGGGGTTAGCTGCAAGGTTAGCTCAGGGGCAAAGAGTGAAAAAGGCTAGAAGTAAGGAAAGAGCAGGTGAGAGCGACTGCTTAGCCACGTCGGGGGTCCTGGGGCTGGCGCCTGTACGCGGGCACGGAGGCGGCGCTGGCGTGCTGTAACTACACCGCGTTGGAGCAGACTTGGTTGCGGCGGTTGTTGCGGCGCTGCAGCCAGCCTCCACCTCGCCTGCGTCAGCGTCCCCGCGTTTCAAAACCACCGCCGCATCTTAAGTCGAAACGTTGTAACTTGGAACCAATTTTCTCATAGGAAACAATGTTATAAATGGGGGATGGGTTCCTGAACCAAGGCCCGATACCCTATTTTCACACAAATACCCCAGAATTCTGTACTCGATCAACGATAGCTGAGTAACAGAGCTACATCATGTATTTATATCGTACATAGCAATCGTATGGATTTGGCAGGACTTCTTTGAGGTGACTTTGCGGGACTTTTTGACGGGCTCTTGGCTGGGGTCTTCTCGGCCGCAGGCGTTTCTGGAGTCTCGTCGGCTTTCTTCAAGAAAGCGTGTGAGGAGGTTTGGACGGGCGTTCTCTGGGGAGATGAGCGATGCAGCCAACTTGTTCGCTGGCGTGGCGTCGCATCGGATCAAGCGTTGTAAAGTCGAAACAGGGTGTTAATTTATAAACGTTGTAACTCAAAGCATTGTAAGTCGAGGACTGCCTGTACATGAGAAGCTCCGGGTGCTTTAAATTATAGCCGCTCTCAGAGCCGCTTTAATGAAAGCGTGTACCCCCCAGGGTACGTGTAAAAATGCTCACAGATCCTGGAGCAATTAAGGAACTGGTATTATTTGTCCTTGAGAGCTCTTGGAGGACAGTGAAGTTCCAGAAGACTGAAGTAATACCACGGTTCCCAACCTGTGCTGGCCCACAGACAACAACACTGAGCAAGTAATCTGCCGTGAGCAATGCAATACTTTGTCCTTCCTGTCAAAATGAAGCAGCATGAAGTTGTAAAGTAACATTTTCCTGGCCCAAAGCAATGTCAGAGTATCATCTTGCAAGCAACACCCTGTAAACCCGGAGTTGGAGACTGCTGTATTAAATGAAGAAGAGGAACTCCATATTCGATTTAGCGGTTAGTCTTCATGGCCCATTTAGCTCTTCTTTAACGAGATGGTCAGGTGAGGTATCATTAGAAATAAATTACTGAGGCAAACACTCACAGGAAAAATACCCATTTTGCTGCAAAGAATCATTTCCACTTTACACAGGTAGAAGCAAATGCAATTACCACTGGAAAACATTTGGCATATAGTGTAAAAAGTTGCTGTTCGCAACCTTTAATCTTACTTTTGATAGGATGTTGGTCCTAGATATGCTGTTACAAAGCAATAATATAATAGTAGGCCATTTGCACAGACAAGATGAAACAATAATAAGAAATAGAGTGTAGCAACGGACCATTCTCTCAGGAGTGGAGACTTTATAATGGGAATTATACCCTCGTAATTGCATTTCTGACAGCACTTGGGCTAAGAATTCATCAGCATAATAGTAACAGCTAAGGAAAATATTATTAGCTCTAAAACAAAATCCCTGCCCTCCTGTCCAAGATAAATGTACAATAAACCCTAATAACACCTGTAATGATTTTGAGATGGATCTTATTTAGAGCCAGGCTTTGAATCCCTTCTATGAGGGAGCAGTTACTCAGCTAAGGAGCCCTGTTAAAGGCTTTCGGGAACTACAAATGTTTTATCTGTTCATTAGTGCAAGAAGGGGGTTCGTGGTCTGGCTGGCAGTTTTCATATAAGCCACCATTGAAATGATAGCCGTTTTAGAGCAGACTTAAAAACAAAATCAAGAAGAGACTGCAGGATTTGGTCTAGAGCTAACATAACAGCGGACTCGCAGCTAACCCAACTATAATCCGTAGCCAGTGAGCAGGTTTCACATAGGCCAGTTTTTCTTCATCTTTTCTATACCAGGGCAACCCTACTTCCCCCCCTATTTAGGTAAGATCTTGCTGGGACTTCCATGCTTGTTCAGCAATATAGTACGGTCTGGGCATT